CAAATGCTATTTATTATTTTATTATTATTTCATGTAATTGCCGAAGATTAGACTCGTCACTAGAGAGCAATATGTTTTTAACAAATGAAAAGAAAAGAAATAAGGGAGGGGGGGAATGTAAGAACGATAGTTGTCTGACTAATTAGGTTAACCCTATCCGTACGTCGTATTTTACTATCGTATCCATACGACGTGGGGAACTCTGTGCCACCACTTTCCCAAGAGGAAATTTACTCGTTAATCTGATCCCTACGTTTTGCATAGCAATCTGTCAAAAATGATTTTTTAAAAAGAAATACTGAAAGTTTCAAAGAGATCTTTGTACTAGAAGTATTCTAAAATGTGAAAAATACAACCCCGGGGGAACAAAATGACCCCAGGGCGTACGGATAACTAATCAGTTCTGCCACCTCTCTTCGTCTCTTCGTCCTTGGACGATAAAGGTCGTTGTCAGACAGCGATAGACGAACTACTATTGTCATAAATTATTCATTTTTGGGCCGTGTTCAAGTTTGGTGCAGAATATTGGGACGTAATGAGTCAGATGCGATAATGTGGTAGTTTGTGATAGATTGTTCCTCGGAGTAAAAAGATATACTATTTGGAAGTGAAAGGGGGAGGGGAGATAGATTTTACAATTAGGGATTTTTTTCATGATCACTTACAATGACAATGGAGCCAAAAAAAAAAAAAAAAAGCTAAAAGAAAAAAGCCTCGCTCTTCCTCGAAGATTCCAGGCCCATTAAGGAAACAAAAAATCATCATCATCATATGTGAGGCAGCGTGGTGGAATCAGGCTCTCGTCAAAATAATCAAAGTGAAGAAACCTGCATCTTTCCGCAGGTTGTGAATTTTTATCAATTTTTTTTTTTTTGGCTCAACACCTTTCATGCCCATTAAAAACTCGTTTCTGTATCGATTTTTCTGAAAAACGTTGATTAAAGGCACAAAAAATGTAAATTTTCAGTTACCACGGGCTCTTAAGCTAAGGAAAAAACTAATCTTTGGCGACCATTTTGTCACTAATTTTACCTCTGAAAACCGGTGACCCCCACCTCCTTCATTCTCAAATATATCTACTTGTATTTAAGATAAATGGATATTTTTTCATCCAAATAAAGACAAGTGAACAAGCTTTAATATAAGATGATACCAATAACTCGGTGTGCCCAAAAATTGACGAGAGCCTGAATCCACCACGCTGCCTCACATATCGTTGAAAGTTCGATGAAAAAAAAGAAAAGCTTCTTTTTTGTAATGGGGTAGACTGCGGAATTTCAAAATTTATAACAGTGAAAAAGTTCCACTTTCGCCCTGAGGGCTTCATCAGGAACACGGGAAAATGATAAAAATCATCATCATCATCATCATCATCATCATCATCATCATCATCATCATCATCATCATCATCATCATCATCATCGTTATCATCATCATCATAGCAGGGAACAAAAAGGGTTGAGACATGTAGATTTTTCAAATTTAATACATCATCATCATCATCATCATCATCATCATCATCATCATCATCATCATCATCCTCATCATCATCACCAACATCATCATCATCATCATCATCATCATCACCAACATCACCATCACCATCACCAACATCACTCTCTCTCTCCCCCCAGGGACGGCAGTGGCGCCAACAACAGCCTGGCCCTGCTGACCAAGGATGACCACCAGGACACAGAGCTAGGGGCAGTCATGTACATCATAGCTGTCCTCACCTTCTACAGCCTGGCTCTCGTTGTCATGATCGTCAAGTATCTCAAGACAGAGAGGAAGGAGATGGAGGAGGAGATACAGCTGGAGAAGTTTTTTAAAGGTAACTATCTCTTTCTCTCTCTCTCTCTCTCTCTCTCTCTCT